CCCCCCCCGGCTATCAGATACATTTAATTTCCACTCTTGATCCAAGTTGTTTTGTGTGGGGGTTAAAGGAAATTAATCCCCCCCATTCAGTTCATTTCTATGATTTTCACACTTAAGATCCAGCTTCTTTTGGAGGGGGAGGAGTTAAGAAAATGACCTTCCCCCCATGCATTTCATTTCCACTCTTAAGATCCAGCTTGGGGGGTTTTGTTTTTTTGCGGGGGGAGGTTAAAGGAAATGACCACCCCCACCCCCCAATTGATTTCATTCCCACTCTTAAGAGCCAACTTTTGGGCAGGGGGTTAAAAAAAATGACACCCCCCCCCCCAATGCATTTCATTTCCATGCTAAAGATCCAACTTTTGGGGGGAGGGGGGGAGTTAAAGAAAATGACCCCCCATGCATTTAATTTCCATTCTTAAGATCCAGCTTGGGGGGTTTTGGCAGAGAGGGAGGTTAACAGGCAATACAGTAGTAATAGACAACGCAGTCATCCAATGCAGAAAAGAAGCCTCAGGAAAAACAGGGGGCAGAGTAAGGCTGGATGCAGGCAGCGGTCCAAAGGGGCTGAAAGATGCTTAGAAGAGCTTGCTCGCTCGCTTTCTTACCTGGCGTCCCTGCCGTACTAGTTTTTTGGTTGTTGTTTCCCCCCCACTCCCCACAGAAAAGAAACATGAAAAACCAATGTGGTGTTTTGCCTCCCCCCAACTCGCATAACATGAGTTTGTCCACTGGGGATGGACCAGTTCGCTCTTGTGTTGGCAGGGATCAGCTGAGGCAGGCTTTACATTTTTTGCAGGTCATTGCAAATGCTGCCTTTTATTGTTCTGGGCTGGAGTTGGAGGGAGGGAAATCTTGTTGTGGTGCTAATATGGGGGCAGTGGCATGATCACAATTTTAATGCAGGCGTTAGGGGCCTTGTCACCACAATGGGTTTCCTTTAATGCTTTTCTTCACAGAAGCACACAACAATGGAAGAGCTCAACTTTACAGCCGTTTGCATTTTAGGGAGCACACACTACCTACACGTGTGATGCAACTTCTTCTATGAAGCCTGAGTCCTTGTCTTGAGTGGCCTTTTTTTAAATGTTTTCTTGCTGCTTCTCACAAGGAGGGAAGGAGAATGTGCGCCTGTTTGTGCTTGTGAAGTGACAACTTGACTGAGCTCTGGGGACTGGCATTTAACCCATACAGAGTGGTATACCTGTAGTGTCAAGAGTTACTTCAACCATCCATGAGTGGATCTAGGGTTTCAAAAAGCGGGGTGCAGGTGGCATGGTACCTCCTCTCATATAACACAACACATTTTTCTCCAGTTAAAAAGAAACTCGAAGCTTTGCTAACAAGCTAGAGGCCCAGAGCTATATTCATGGGCAGATCTGGGATTTTAAAAGGTGGGGGTGCAAGTGATGCGGGGCATCATCACATATAACACAACAGGGGTTTAGGTTGTAGCCGTGTTAGTCTAAGGATATAGGCAGACAAGGTTCCTTGGGTGAATTTGATATCTTTTATTAGACCAACCCAAATGGTTGGAGAATAGTTATTAAGCAAGCTTTCGGGTTCAAAAACCCTTTGTCAGGCTCAGGAAGCTGCAGCAGTTGGTGTGTGCTCTTCCTGGATGGAAGATATAACACAACACACATTTTTCTCCAGTTGAAGAGAAACTAGAACATCTACTAATATGCTAGAGGCCCAGTGCTATATTATTCAGCTTACAATCGGAGTACAAATAAATACAACTTTATTGGAATGTGTACTAATTTGCTAGCTTATATATTTAATGTAAAAAATACAACAAACTAGGCAAAAATAGTCCAAATAAATGGTTTTGTTAGTCTTGTGGCCTTTATAGTTAAATGTACATCTCTTATTCAGGTTCGTAAAACAAAATCTAGCCTTTTTGAGCACCCTGGCTGTGGCTAGGACAGAAGAAAGGATAACTTGCTCAGTGGAACTTCAAAACCGTTAAAAAGGAGAGGGGGTTGTTAGTATGTGTGAAGCGAAGACAGATTAGCAGGAATCAGGTAGTTAACTGTGACTCCTTCAACACTGCCTGAGTAGAAATGCTGCAGCCTCTCCTGGGCCCTTGCTTTCAAAGTGTGGGTGGAGCGTGAATCAAAAGGGGGTGCACCTGCACCACTGCTGCCCCCCTGGGTCCACCCCAGCTATATTGTTCAGTTTGGGATTGAAGCAAAACCATATATAACTATTGGAATGAGCATTCATTTGTTATATATTATGTATAAAAATACAACAAACTAGGCAAAAATAATCCAAGTATGTTGTTTTATTAGTCTTGTACTCATTAAAATTAAATGCACATCTCTTTTTTCTGATTCATAAAACTAGGTCTAGCCTTCTTGACCTTTGGATTGTGCATCCAGTGCTTCATTGAAAGTTATTTCCACACCTGAAGTAATATTCACTAATGTTAATGTTTCCACACCCAAGTTCACATTTTAGCTAGAGTTAAAAACAGCTTGCAGGGCTATATAATATTATTATCTATATAATATATATATAATATATATAATATAATATAATATATTATATATTATAATTATATTATATAATTATAATATATTATCCTGCTACATTACCAGGAGCAGCTAACAGAACTGCAGAAGAAAGGATAGCTTAGAGCAGAACCATTAAAAAAGGAGAGAGGGTCATTAACAACTGTAGAATGAGGAATTTAGAAGGAATCGGGTAGATTACAATGAGCCATGAAGTAAAACTACTCCCTCACTGTTGCTGGAACAAAAATGCTGCTGCCACTGTCAGATAGTTGGTTTTAAACTTTGGTTGGATCAGGAATCAAAGGGTGGGGTGCAACTGCAACCATCTACCCAGACAGTAGAAGACACGAGCATGAGAAATCAAATCACCTTAGGCTGCTGTAAGATTAGTCATTGCTCACTTGTGGCAGATCAGTACCGGTCTGGACAGCTTGAGATGAAAGGCTCTTTATCCCATTGCTAGTTCCAAGAGTCATGTGGTCCCCTCCTGCTGGAGGAAAGCCTTTCCTTTCCAATATCCTTCTATCAGGCCAAAAACAACTTCTTTCCCAATCTTCTGCCCATCTTCATCTCCGGTGCTAGGAAATAGCAGGCCTCAGAACAGCCATTCTGGCCTGTCGGTTTCAAAGCCTTAGCAGTGAAGACATTAATCACCTGAAGCAGGAACAGATGGTGAGACCATTGGATAAGGCTGCCAGCATCCCTTTGACTGTGGAGACAGACACTTCTTAGGCTATGTCAAGACACAGAGACCATTTCTTGTCTTTAGTGTTACCTAATTCTTCAGGGGGAGAATTGTGACGTCTGTCAGATTTGCTGAAGTCTCTGGACTCGTGCGTAGGGAAACAATCGGCCAATACGTAAGATTGTATAAGCAAGGGGACAGAGAAGATTATAGAGACTGAGACTGCTCCATTTCTTTCCCTCATTGACACACTGGGGAAAAATTAGATATCACTAAGGGTTGCAAATGCGGTGCTACCGGTATATCATCTCTTGAAGAAACATGCATTTTTCACTCAGACTGAAGAGTAAAAGGATTCTGAAGGGAAGTTTAGACTCTCGAATGCAGCTTTTTCTGGCCCAAGGGGATACTCAACCACTTAGCTTTTTCAGTGAGCAATATAAACTAGAGGGGTTGAAGCAGCTTCAGAATGAATACCGGGGTCTTTATTTCTTCAGGCAGCAACTTTCTTTACTCTTTGGACATGTTAGTAGGCAATATTGTCAAAGGATGATTAGATGGTCTTCTGACAATGTTGGAATGGCATGGGAATGTGGTGGTATACACAATATGTATGGATGAGTTTAGTAAGGATCATAGGTATGGGTAACTCTTCTGGGCATACAAATTAATTTAAGAGCTAACTGAATATGCCATGGTCTTGTCAAAGACCCTTGAATTCCTAAAGCGTAGCATTGAGAGTTAAGGAGCAATGCTATTTCATGGGCTTTCATCATTGTAATTCACTTTAAGAAAGTCATTTGGCCATTTGGAAGATGGTCTCCAGATATTGTTTGATGTACAGTTCATAAAAAGGCTACCATGATTCACTAGCACTAACAGTATACCTCAAGGACGTCCAACTTATAAGAGGCAGAGGCTACACTGTTGGAGCTGTGCACCGCATGCCCCCCCTGGTGCAGTGTGTGCCTGGACCCCTACCTCACCCTAAGCTCCCTGGTCACAGGCTTCCCCTCTGTTTTGTACCTCTCAGGCACCCCAAGCCATAGGCTCCCCCAGCGCTGCAGGCTGTGCCATGCTAAACTGCCCCATCCCCTGTAGTGGGGGAGGAAGCCTGGAGATCCTGGTTACCTCTGGCAAAGCAAGGGGATTGGTAGGGGACCTGGTAACTGCCAGGCTGTAGCCTGGGAGCCACAATTTAACCCCTAGTGGGCCACATGGAGCCCACAGGCCACCAATTGGACAGGCCTAGTATACCTCAATAGACAAGATGCAAACAGAAAGTTTTTTGATAAGAAAGGAAGAAGCAGGAGTAACTCACCAAATCATACTTTCTGTGGACAGCATATTCCTCTCTACTTATCAATCTTGCATCAGGAATACATCAAAATGGTTGATGGAGTTCATGTCAATCCAGCTCCAGCCTAGTGATAAGCATTGATTGGGTGTCTTTTTAAAACTGGGCCATTGGCAAAGGGTGCAGGGGAGGTGTAGGATCCAGTTCTGCTCCTCCCTCAAGTCTTGGGAAGAAGTCAGCCAATGACCTAAGCCCAGCACCACTAGCTGTATTGGAGATCTATTTCTCAGAACTCCCTCACCTGATTTTTCCCTTGATCTGTTTTCTCCAAGGAAGAGGCTACGTTGGTCCAAGGAGAAAGCGAGAGAGAGAGAAAGAAAGATTCAATAGGTGTTGCTTCCTGGAAAGAAAGCAGGACCCTCCTGAAATAGCTCCATACACTAGTGATGTAAGACAAAAGGAAAAGCATGTCTCTCTGAGGACGGATCGTTTTCCTAGAAAACTAAATGGAATGCTTCAACCTAAACGACATGTATTTGGCATGCCTGAAGTAGGCTTTCAAATTTTCACAATTCAACAGAGATAACAAAAACAAGCAGTTGAGATGCTTCCGTTTCTTCTCTGGTAAGTCTTGTGGTGCTTCATGAAAAATCATAATAGTAGTATTAGTCCTGCGGTTGCACAAAATAGCAAAGTTTATTTGTATGGACAGGAAAAGCAGAAGTGGCTGCATAAGGCACTACATTACTTCAGGTTTTGTTATAAATTACAAGCAATCTTCCCTGGTGCATTCACAGACTCACAGTATATCACAATGATTGCAATGGGCAATTTACTGTCCCCAGGACCATCTGACATTGCTTGTAGTCCTAGGACATTTTAAAAGTTCAACTGAGGTTGACAGGGTGTTTTGAGAGTTACTGCCGTACTTTTGTGGTTCACGGGGTACTTCTGGTGTGTTTGGTTTCATTTTCATAGTATGCTTTTAGGACTTTGGATAACTTCTTGTCTGTGGACTTAGGGAAGAGGAGGCCCTTTAACCAGTCCTATGTTCCTAACTGGAAAGGGGTTATAGTGTTCACAAATCAGTTCTGGAAAGAAAATCCCTTAAATCCTCCATCCCAGAGGATTTCAGTAACATCAGTCAGCCAGTTGTCAGGCTACCATGATTAAGGCAGTCCAACTTCTCTAGCTAGTGACAAACAAAGGAGCTACAGAGCTGCATCACAAGCAGTCTCCTCATCTTTTTGAGCAGGGACCGGGGCATCCCCCACACTGGGATTCCCGACGGACCCAGGGGAGGCGCAGCCAGGCCCAGGGTCAGTGAGGACCTAGTAAGGGAACTTCTGGAGGAACTGGATGTGTTCAGATCAGCAGGTCCTGACGATCTCCACCCCAGAGTGCTGAGGGAATTAGCAGAGGTCATTGCGGGACCCCTGGCACGGCTTTACGAGCGCTCATGGGGCTCTGGCGAGGTGCCGGAGGACTGGAAAAGGGCCAGTGTGGTCCCCATTTTCAAAAAAGGGAGGAAGGAGGACCCAGGAAACTACAGGCCCATTAGTCTTACCTCGGTCCTGGGGAAGCTCTTTGAGAAAATTATCCAGGAGCGCATCTGCAAGGGACCAGCAGAAGAGATTAGATTTAGGGGCAACAAACATGGGTTCATTTGAGGCAGGTCCTGTCAGACCAACCTGGTGGCCTTCTATGATCAGGTCACAAAATCCTCGGATGCAGGTGTCGTGGTGGACGTAGCCTTTCTGGACTTTAGGAAGGCCTTTGACACTGTCTCTCACCCCATTCTCATTAAAAAATTAGGCAACTGTGGCGTTGATGCCTACACAGTCAGATGGGTTGCAAATTGGCTGGAGGGCCGCACCCAGAAAGCGATGGTGGATGGGTCATTTTTGACCTGGAGAGATGTGGGCAGTGGGGTCCCCCAGGGCTCGGTCATCAGGCCCGCACTGTTCAATGTCTTCATCGGCGACTTGGACGAGGGGGTGAAAAGCACCTTGTTCAGATTCGCGGATGACACTAAGATGTGGGGAGAAGAGGACACACTAGAAGAGAGGGACAGGCTACAACTAGATCTGGACAGGTTACAGGGGTGGGTGGATGAGAAACAGGATGAGTTTCAATACTGACAAGTGCAAGGTGCTGCACCTGGGGAGGAAGAACCAGCAGCAGACCTACAGGCTGGAGAATTCCCTTCTCATCAGTGCAGAGGCAGAAAAGGATCTTGGTGTCATTATTGATTCCAAAATGAACATGGGCTGACAGTGTGGGGATGCGGTCAGTAAGGCTAACCGCACCTTGTCATGCATCCATAAATGTATCACAAGCAGGTCCAAGGAGGTGATCCTCCCCCTCTATGCGACATTGGTCAGGCTGCAGTTGGGAGGCTATGGGACCTGAACCTGTTCAGCTTCCACAAGACAAGGCTGAGAGGGGATCTGGTGGCCATCTACAAACTGGCCAAGGGGGAGCAGCAGGCTATGGGAGAGTCCCTGTTCCCCCGAGCACTACCGGGAGTAATGAGGAATAACGGCCATTAGCTGACTGAGAATAGATTCAGGAGGTGCTACTTCACAGTCAGGGTGGCTAGGATCTAGAACCAACTTCCAAGGGAAGTGGTGCTCGCCCCTACCCTGGGAGCCTTCAAAGGGAGGCTAGATAGACACCTTGCCGGGGTCATTTGATCTCAGTACTCTTTCCTGCCATGGCAGGGGGTCGGACTTGATGACCTGCTCAGGTCCCTTCCAACCCTAGCAACTATGAAACTATGACTTCCCAACCAGATGCCCATTTATAGCTGGGTCAGCTGGGACAGTCTTCAGTGCAAGGCTCAGGACTCAAGCTCCTAGAGGCATAGCAAGACATCTTAACCACTCTACCATTGCATCCCATGGCATTCTGGTAAGGAACATTAGGGTAAGAATAACAGTGTTGCTGGACAGTGGTGTCTTGGAGGGAGTCTACACAAATTTGCTAGAACTATGAGCAGATTCATTCAAGAAGGTGGTGGTGGGGCAAGAAGAAGGTTAAACTCAATTGTTTTCTGTGTTTGCCTATCATTTAATATATCCCTGATGTCTGAAGGAATAGGCGCAAACTGTGCAGGCTGATATTTAAAAGCATGTGGAAGACTCTCAAAAGCTATGTTTTAGTCTACACAAGGTATTTTCCACCATTATCCACTATTATAAAAGCTGTTCATATGTCACTTGTGGGATGCTGTGGATCTGTTAAGACAAAAAGGATTCTCCAGTCTTTGAACCCTCTGAGGTCTCTTCACTTTCCATCTCCCCTACTAGCTGGAATAGTTCTATAGTTAGAGCCCAGATGCTGAGGCTTTGGTAAAGGAAGCATTTTTGCAGTGAAATGTTCACCTTTCCTATCCTACTCTCAGCAATTGCATCCCTTTATCATGTCTCCTTGCACTGAGACTTAATCAAGGCTTTGTGGACAGTGATAGCAACAGTGACTCCATTGTGACCCTCACTGTCAAGGTAGCTAATTCTACTAGCACTAAAAACATCCATCATTATCTTCCTTTTGGAGATGGAGAGCAATCCTGGTTGACCTGACAGGTTAACGCTGTTCCCATGAATATACATTTAATCTAGTGTTTTCATAGATTACAAGGTCGGAAGGGAGCAGTATGGTCATCTAGTCTGACTGTTTGCCTAACATAAGTCATAAAATGTTACCCAAGAGTTCTTATCACCAGGCCCATAAACTTCTGGTTGAATTTTAAAAAGGCCTTTTCTCTGTGTTTCAGGAAAGGAAAGTAAACAGAATACTGAGCAGAATAATTAAAGTACAGATATGGTCAAAACAATGCATAAGAAAACCACATTTTTATTCAGAAGACCTGCTTATCATTTCAGTCACAACTGTATTTGCTTCGGTTGCTGACAATATAGTTTTAACCAGCTTTTACTCCTATTAACTGATTTGGCTCTGCAGGGCAGTGGTGGGGAATATTCCACTCCTTTTTGGCTTGTGCACCATTAAAGATTTGCAAAGCAATTGGGCGATTGCTTTACTTCTATTACTTCTAACTAGTCTCACACTGGAATGAACCCAGTTTGATTGTCAGATGCCAGACTGGATTTGGTGGGCTATCAGCTAGCAGAAACAAGTCTCTATACTGTAAACTGAACAAACCTGATAAACTCTGCTAAAAGCCTAAAAGGCCTATGCTTTAGGCTATTTTTCAAGTGTACTTCTTATGTGTAAAGTTACTATATTTATCCAAAATGCATTGTATATGAAAACTCTAAACATAAAACAAAATAAATATAAGTACTTAAACTTGAAACAACTAAAGACATAGAACAATAAATATTTGTTTGGCATTTTACATATGAGCAAAAGTAATTTGCTGTTTATATCAGTGACAATTTTGAACCACACGGTATAACTTGCTTATTATTCTCTATGCTGCTTAAAGGACCCAAATATAACAAAAGGTAAATATTTAAGCAGGGTTGTCAAAAACTCTCCATGAAAGCTTTTTCAGTAACAAATGGATTTTTGACCAATGAAAAACTTTCATACTCAAAACTTTCTGATTTCTTGAAAATTGAAATTAAATTATTTTAATTGGGATCATACAGACTCTAAACAGAATGTGTTAGTTTTTGTGCTACCAGTGTGCGTGGGGAGTGAATTTGAAAAAAAGAGACAAACTCAAATGGCTTTCTTTAGACTTTGTTTGATTTGAATGGACTATTTTCAGTTGAAAAACTAGAACAAAATCTGTGAAGAAATTAAAACCTAATGAAAATGTTTCATCTGTCAACTAATTCTTTGGGGTTTTTTGTATTTTTTTTTAGGTGTGGCCCAATGTTTGGTTCTAGTCCACCTAGGAAACCAGCTTTGATCTCTGTTGTTAACTGACCAAGGAACTGATTTTACAGATACTTTGTATCATTAGAGCCACACCAAGCAGCTTGTTCAGTGATTCTCAATCAGGGTGACACAAGATACTTTAAAAGTGCAATGGGGTGCTGCACAATATTAGCACTCTTAAGGGTGCAAAGGCACACACATGAGTTACAAGATAAACTTGGAAATTTCAAATAGGAATCTGTAGTATCAAAAAAATTCTGACCTATTGTGGCCTTCTTGGGTGCATCCAGACGAGCACAGATGTACGGTATGTGGCACTGCAGACCTGTCTGTGGCACCAAACACTGCACATGCAAGCATTCCTTGCACTGCTACTTTGCAGGGGGGGAGGGTGTTGACCCCAGGAGATCCCAGGGTCAAAAATACCCAGTCCAGAAAAAATTGGGGTGGTGCGCATGGCAGCGCATGCCACCCAAAATCGGAGTCTGACTGGCTGGAGCCATGCTCTGGCTACTGAATAGGCTTCCTGCCATGGCTGCAGCCCTGGGAGGCCCCCAGCACTCCAGGTAAGTCTGCTGGGGCCAAAACAGCTGCTGGCTCCTGCCTCCCCTACCTCACCTAAGGTAACCTGCAGCACACCAGAGGCATAAGGTGTGCCACTGCTACTTGTTCCTGGGGAAACAAACTTCTGCGCTTGTCTGGATGTGCCCCTTGAGTTCTTTGTAACAGAAGAATTACTTTTATTTTTCCATAGTCAAAAAAACAAGTGAAAGCCAAGATTTTTCGAGGGAGGCCTTGAGTCTAAAAAGGTTGAGAACCATTGAGCTGTGAATGTAACTGGGTATATTGTATAGTCCACCAGCACACCTTGGGCCATAGGTTTCCCCTTAGTAATAACCTTTTCTTTTTGTTGGATGTAAGACTTTCCATAGATTGGAGTCATTGCTAAATGCACTAGTGCTGTTTGCAACCTGATTCATAGCCACTAATTTTGAATCTTGTATAAGTTCCAGGATCCTCCGTGCAATTTAGTCTATCTTCATGCACGTTGAGCAAGCCTAACTGACAGGGTTGTGGTAAATGAAAAACCATGGAGAAAAATCACACTTTACAAACAGTGCCTCAACTCTGCAGTAGGTTTACCACAGAAGATGACACTTTCTGGTGACTTATTAGTCATCTTTGACTGGAGATGAAATTCTCCATTTCAGCAGTGTAGAGACAAGCTGGGTGTTTGTGGTAAAGTGGAAATGGTGACTTTCTGTTGATGCCCCAAGCATGAACAGGTAGCTGCCAACAGCAGCCACTTTTTTTTCTCCCTTTCCCCACAATTGGTGTCCAGGGCAATTGCCCCTATCACCCTGCTAGTTCATGCCACTGCTCCATTTACTTCTGGTTTTGGATTAGACTTCCTGTTCTGTCTTTCATCGTCGATAGGCCAAGATTTATGGATATCTTTTTTGGAATTTGGATGTAAATGGATTTGTCCCTTTTTTAGCTAGGTTCTTTTTGTACTGAAAGTCATAGTTTACCATTATACTTACTGCTCTTTATCATTCCTTGTCATGATGTGGATTTTCATATTTTGATTTTTTTGTTTAACGTTCTCTGTGCCCTTTGCTTATCTTATACCATAAAAATGTTCTCTTTTGCAGGAATTTTAGAAAGATTTGTTTATAGTTCAGAGACCTAGCCTTACATGTAAATGTCTAGCACTATTTTGTTTTCATTCATTATAATAGTCCCAAAGTAACATATCTTTTTTATGCATGATATACTAAAATCTCAGTGTCTTGTGTCGGTTTTGCTGGAGATTCTTCATGTCCTCTATTGTGGCAATTAAGATTCATATTAATTATTTGTGTTTCAAAAGTGTTTAAATCTTTTGACTGAGATCAAGACCCTATTGTGTTAAGTATAATGTATTAGAGCAAAGAAACCACTCCCCCTTGGAAAGCTTACAATATAAATAGACAAAGAGTGTAAATGGAAACAGAGAGGTGAAGTGACTCATGCAAGGTCAAACAGTGGATCAGTGGCAGAGTCAGGAATATAACACGGGCTCCTGATTTATAATTCAGTCCTCTACCCATTGGACTATACTGTTTCTCTGGGAGCTTTTCTCCAGTGACTGTTCAATGTATGAACATAACTATTATTTTATAGCTCTTCCTGCCTACTGTCTACCTTTTTCAGATATTATGGCATTGGCTAACTCTGAGCAGATCTACATGTGCTATTAATGCATAGAAATAAATCCGGCACGTATTGCTCCAGATTTTATTGCTTCCAGGTCCCACATTTGAATGTATGCCCAGGACTGCAGCACGCTGAGCCAGTTTGGAGCAGCCCTGGCTGACAGGGGACCTGGGGAGTCAGCCTGCCAGTCCAGGGCTTCTCCGACCTCCTCAACATGCTGCGGACAGGCCAGCTGGGGCACAAAGGTGTTCCAGTGTGGGGATAGTCAGTCTTGTGCCCCAGCCAGTCCCGTCAGCATCTACATGTGCATTGCTGCACACTAAACATCTCTGCCACAGGATAGTACTTGTATTTACAAGCACTAGCCTGTGGTGGAGTTTATTGGTTTACTGCGGCCTAAGGGGGTTACACGCGTAGATGTGGAGATGTTTAATGCAGAGCTAATTAGGCAGCTTCACAGTAAATGTCCTGTATAGGCATGCTCTCCTAGCAGTAATTCTTCCTGGCTGGAAGGGGTATGTTGTTCCTAGTAGATGGAATTAAAGCCGCTGCTATTTCTGATTTTTTTGCCCCATTTTTGACCAAAAACATGAGCTCAGAGCATAGCTTGTGAACTGAGTCCACATGTAAGCCTTTGCTCAAGGCTTACAGAGAGTTTATACCTTTTTGTGCCGCAGTGCCAGCAATCCGATGTGTCAGAGCAGACTCTATTAATTGAGTCTGCTCTGCATGTGAGCTGATGCGTATTGCGCTGCGTCATGTGCAGTTGTATAAGTGGCATTATGTGCATCAGCGCATGGAAAATGGTGGCACTGCACTTTTGAACTAAAGCACATCAATAGTGTTTTAGTTCAAAAGTGCATCACCGCCATCTTCTTAGTGCTGACACGCATTTTGCCATTTATACAAATGCATGCACCACAGCGCCGGATCCTTTTAAAAGGATTTAAAAAGTGTATGCATGCTTGTGCTGTGGCGCAAGCACATGTACAAATGCCCACAGAGTGGTTCAAACCTGCTTTTTTATGAAAACTTTCCTGTTTTATGCTACTGATAGGCGGGGTTTACGGCTCTGAAGAAAATTCCTTCAAATGCAGCAACAACCAGGCAAAAAAAATGTTGTTCTAGAATAAAAACAAATAAGCAACCGCGTCCCTGAAAAAAACAACCCAACAGAAATGTTGAGATTAAAATAAGTGCTAAGAAAGTAAAGATGATGTTGTTACACAAGGGGCATGCCTGTGAAAAAGGATCTTGATAAATGTGGAGGGTCGAGGCAGTCAAGCCCTTAAATCAGTTGCCATTAAGGATCCACTGTGCCTGAGCTCTGAAGTCATCTGTTTATCCACAAAAACAATAAAAATATAGAGTGCATGCAATTTTCATGCAAGGATAGAATAAGATCCATTTGGCCAAGCATGAACTGTGTATTTTTTTTTCTTTGTCAAACTAAATCTATCACCTTCTCCCCGCACCGTGTGGTTTTTACACAGGTGGGGAAAAGTTTTGGTGCCAGGAGTAGGAGTGTCACTGTTCTCTGAGATGTGTGATTAAGCAGGCTCTGATAGTATATGCCAGGATTGCTGATAGTGTGGAAGTATCTGAGTGCTTTACAGGGTTTTTTGGTAATTCTATCACAATTGTAAAGTCTTCCCATTTTAAAATTCTTTTATTTATTATCAAAGAGATTACACTAAGCATCGGTACAACGAACCTTCCAGGATGACAAGCTAACTGGAATTTCTACAGATGTGAAGGTTTGCAAGATAAAAGGGTGGGCAACAGAACATGTTTTATCCTCTGTGTGCTCTTAGCGTTTACAGAAGCTGCATCTGGACTGGGGCATTGGTGGGCCTCTCATTTGCCTCTCTACACTAAGGTTGAAACTTTTTTCTAAAGCTCCTTCAAGGGTTGGAACTGTTTGCCGTGAGTTTATTTCTGATAACAAGAAAAGAGGGGGTTGCTCCTAGGCTCAGATTTTTTTAGCACCAGTGAATGATGTCATCGATATGTGAGGTGATGGTGCCCTCTAATGTCCAAAGATCTTGAAAAGAGAATTTTCCTCATTTACTCCTCAGAGCAGAGTACAGAGAAGAGAGAGAACATTGCAATAATTCACCTTTGAGGCTTATTACAATCCAACCTCCCTTTCAAACACCACCTGGGGAAAATCATTTTCACCTACCTCTCACTGTCAGATGGCACCAGGTTTGTCTTTCAACACATTTAAAAGCAGCCACTTTTATTTGAAAAGCATATCTAGAAGGCATTAGGTGACTTAGCACTGAGGTTGGATTTTCAGTGCAAGTTATATTAGTTGCATTTTAATAAATATTTACACTTTCCCAGTAAGACAGTGGCACCACATCAACCAGCTGCCGTAACAGCAAAATGATATAATAATGATAGCAAAATGATATTTTGCTCCCCAAAATTTCTAGCTTGCACTCAAACTTAGTCTCAGCAATTTGGCAGGATTCCAGTGTGTTTTTCCCATCCATATCCATTAGTCCACATTCTTCCTGAAAGTTATCCCTGACATTCTCATTTTTTTATATTTCTCCTCCAGATATTGGTGGCAGGACTCCATGGGGAGAGATTAGACCCCCTGCATTTAATCAGAGGAGAACTTTGATACGCTGTCCATAACAAAATATTAAAGGCAAAATTGTATTTCTGTGGGCCTCTCAGGTTTGGAAAAGTCACCTCATAAACATGGAACAACCATCTATTTGTGAGCTAAAGAGGGACAAGCAAATGTTAAAGTCAGCGTTTTAAATTGGGATACCATTTTAATGACCTGTAATTCAAAAAAGATTGAATTTTCTTTGGACTCCGCAGGGTACATTCTCTTTGGCCTGCACAGCAAGTCTGGCAATTTTCAGATCAAACTTATCTACAATGTAAGAGTATATGGGAGGAGTAGGAGGGGAGCCTAAAATATGGTTATATAATGAAAGCTTGTTTAAGGCTACCTCCTCTGCACAGTACACTGTGCACTCATTATATAGTTACTTTTATGTATTATACATGCCACATGAGGCTTCTGACACATGTAGAACCCCCTGTCCCCCAAATCCCTGGTGCTACATGTGTCAGAAGTGTTTTTTTTTGTTTTTTAAGCCTTCCTCAGATGTATTGGGTGTTGGTTTCAGCCAAGGCTGGGAATTTTGACTGAGGTGTGTCAGTGCTCCTGCTGAGACTTAAAACCAAAGATTTCAAGCTAGAGGGTCTTGCCCCTGTGCTCAGAGTCAAACCGATCACCATATTTGGGGGAAGGAAAGAATTTTACCCCATGATCAGATTGGTATGGACTGTGGGGGTTTTTGCCTTCCTCTGTAGCTGGGGGTGTGCCTCTTCCTAGGATCTCTTGAGTATATGTTAACAACCTTTACAGCAGCAGCACGGCCCCCCTGCTTTACCCGTTGCAGTTAGGGTGTTATGTCTTGTGTTGTTTCAGGGTTGACTGGGTAGTATTGCTAAGAGGTTAGACAGTGGATTTGTATAGGATGTCTTGGATAAGGATGATCCTGCCTCAGGTAGGGGGTTGGATTAGCTGACCTGTGGAGATCCCTTCCAGCCCTACTTCTCTATAATTCTATATGAAATATACATTTGAATTTATTATAGATCTCTGATATATATGATGCTATATTGTCTTTGCTTATCTGTCACAACAGAACTCATGCTGTTTGTGAGATGTGTAAGCTGAAACAATTATACCTGCCATCCAGTACGACAGCAGTAAAAATAAATCCAACTAGTGTTTGTTATTCCATTGGGTCTAAGAAAAATGGAATTGCTGTATCCCTAATAAAAACAGAGAGCGGGGAGAGAGGAGAGATGAGACTAGATTAAGGCAGCACTATAAATCAGTGGCCAGTCTGAAACCTGCAAATGTAATTTCTCTCAATCTGATCCCAAACGTGTGGCAGAAAACTTAAGGAACCCAGGCTGGCAGTCCCTTGGCTCTTTCACAAGTGCTGATGAGTATAGCCCTTGTGAGACATGTATACACAGTGCCCCTCACATGAACAAGGAAAGCCACGCGAAACCTAAAGTTTTGTCTGCACTGAAAAAAAAAGTTAGACACCTATACACCTACTTGCTTTGTGGCCTATGTTGTAGAGATCCCAGCTACTCTGCCTCTTTTTGTATGACTTACTGCTAGCATCTATTTCTTGGACTGCTTGCTGCAGATGTTTCACCCCTTGATTTTAAAGATGTTTTTGCCTGGGTAAAGTCTATGAAAACAAGAGAGTAAAGGCACACTCTCATCCCTGCCCTACACAAGACAACAAATATCCTATTGTCCCGCAAAAAGCAGTCTTCTCCACATAAATACAGAGGGCTAGAGCCTGATACCCTTAGGATCTTATCACACAGGACACTTAAATGCATTTTATCTGAGATGTAGTATGCAGTACTGTGCCATAGTAAAAGTTAGAACGTGTTCTGAGCAGTCGCATGGAGAGATCTCAGCCCACTCTGGACAGAGTTGGAGCCAGCTGTGCCCACCAACACCCCCTCCCACTGACCCTGGCACCAGGCACTGATAGCTGTAAAAGCTGGGCCAGACCTACACCTGACATTTAAATTGTTAAACTGCTAAAACAATACCTTTTGTATAAAAATGCAAGATTGTGGTTGGGACCATGTGAAAGAACACAATCCCAAACTGATCTCACATCTCCTGTGTTACATTTCCTGTGTTACATTGCAACTGTACTCAGTGTTTATTATGCTAAGTCAGTCTACTTACTGCATCTAACCCAAAACTAACTCATATTTATTGTCCCCACTGGCCTTTGATCCTCATGACCTTGCATTTGCATTTATTAATTAAGGTATATTTCTCAAAATAGACAGTCAGTCTCTAAATGTATATTATGCTAAACTGGGGTATTTGCCTGAAACTCACACCTATTGTTCTTATTTCCTCCATTTACATTCTAACAAACCTGCTTTGTCTAATAAAAGGTGTTCTATACACCCAAAGAAACTTGCAAATCAAGATATATCTCTCAAAACAGGCATTCAGTGTCTGTCAAATATCTCCATAAACCATTTGATGCGGCTCCATTGTTAAAACTACCGAAAGATAGTATTCTATAATCAACTTCCTAAAGATATCTCATTCAATCAATACCCATCCCATTTATTTCCAAAACTGATCAAAAGCTTGGAAACTTTACAAACATACAAACAGGATATAACTGTAATATGTTAATTCTGTCCTTGCCTGCTTTGTTCGGATTTTGATTAACCAAATATCAAGAAAGAATGCTTTGAAGCTATACAACTGAACAAGTATAAGAATTAAAAAGTTGCCAGCAAAAAGTGGCCATCAGAGTGCCAGCAGATGGTGAGCATCTTCTCCAGAGGGAAAAAGGGACACTATAACCTGCCCCCAACTGGATTAAGGTGATGGATCCATGCTTTGAGAAAGCTGACAACTTGAACCAGCTTCTGGCCTGCATGAGTAAAGAATCTCCTGTGGATAATACAAGGACCATGTGGTAATATAGCTCATTTATTTTATATTGGAAAAGAGTCTTTTTCTGTCGTTTAGTTTTGTAACTTGTTGGTAGTTATTAAACCAAGACTTCCCGCTGTTTATCAACTGAGTGTTGTGTCAATTCTTAAGCACTAAGTTAAAAAATGCAGTTTCTAAGTACAACAGGCACCATAGCTCACACATCTGTTTGTGAGGATGTGTAGCCCCCACACGTATAGCTTGTAACCTCCTCACCATAGCTAGGGTGACAGACATTGAAGGCATTATGTTACACATAAACTGGTTTAAGTCATCAGAAACTAGTTTAAACCTGTAACAGAACATACTTTCAGTGCACGTAAACCAGTTTCAAAATGGCTGAAATTGGTTTAAGGTAAACCTGGTTGAAAGTAGTATCAGACTTAACTGGTTTAGGTCTAACCAGTTTATGAAACTTCTGCCCCCAGATCCCTTCCTGGTTTAAGTTAAATCAGAGTTCCCTAGCATCCCAGTATGCTTTTCAGCCCTGGGCTGGGCTGCCTGCTCCAGAGAGCAGGGATGGTCCTTCACCTCTGCTTCCTAGCTGGCTTACTGACCCCTCCCCAGCAAACCCAGGCTGAGGTCTGGGGCCAAGGAGGGGAGTTAAATACCACTTCCTTCGCTCAAACTTACTGCTGGCTGCAACTGGACTACAATCTCAGAGGCACCTGGAAGCAGGAAGAGGAAGCAATGAGCAACCCTGCAGAGTCCTGCTGCTGTGATTCTGGACTGAAAATCCCAGAGACCTCAGGGGCAACAGGAAGAGGAAGCAAATACAAAGACCATGCTGACCACATACCAGTGAGCCATGCTTTAGTGCCCCTGGCTTGTGGCCTGAGCCACTGCAGGTGTGTGGCTCCATTTCCTGAATCAATGGTAAATGTCTGTCCAGTTATTTTACAGTTTAATATCTGCAGCTTAGACTAAACTTCAAAGACTGAATCGATTCAGCCTTGGCCTTTTTGACTGTCTGTACTCAGCCCATGTGTCCAGGACTGCCCAGCTGGGGAACATCTGCCCCTGGCATACTGGGGTGAGCTGTATTTTTGCTACTGGAAGAGTCACCAGGGCTGGTTCAAAACTCCAGTGTGGTGCTGGGGCTGACTGACAATCAGCAAGTGGTGCTTGTGTTACTTCTGTGGATTAATCTTCTGTGTTACTTCCTACAATCTGGAAGTACTCCTGCAAAACGTCCACACTTTAATTCCCACCAACTTTAATGGGTTTGCTATTTCACTCTACTTCTAAATAACCTTGATCTATGGATTTGGATCAGATGTTACAGCTCTGGTTCTTTCTCTAAATAAGTAAGACAGCTGGTTTTTCTTGGTACTTTTAAGCCAAAATATAAAACAATGGAGACAACTTTACAGGTAAAGTGATAGTTGCTTATTCATAGTAATCCCAATCTGAAAGTGACTCAGTATGAAATAACATTCTGGGGTTCTATGTATCTTATTGACTTCCAGCCCAGTGCTGCTCAGTGTGCAGATATAACAAAGTATTCATTTAACTGCCAGCCATGCAAACTGAAATGAGGTTCTTTGATTTTTGTACTTCATCACCAGCAAACAAAGGTTCAGCAAGCCAAATTAGAGTCTCAGTTATGCCTTCAGTGTCACCAAGGCTATTACTGACTTGGCAGATGTGAAACTAATTGGAATTTAGCAATTGATTTTGTTGATGCACAGGTAGGCATGTAATCCAATGCACTGCTATGGCTGTGCTGGCTTTGTTGAGTTAACAGAATGACAAAATCAGTAAAATCTCTCTTCCCCCACCCCCATCTCCCTCTTTTTAATTTTGGTCTTTGAAGTCATGAAGTAAGAGTCTAAAACCACAAGGAGTAGGGCTGTAGGGCGCAATGGTGCTATACTTGCAGTGTTATTCTGTGGAAAGGAGCCATCATTTGTACTTAGCCACTCTCTCTTTGGGACAGCTCAGTTAAGTTAATTATATTGATAGCCTGTTGGTTATCAGGAAAGTGAATGATATTAATGTTCTTTGCACAGTACTGTTTGCGTGCAACACTTTCTAATAGCTAACACATTTACAAAGCATGTAGGCCTGAGATTTGTTTGGGTGTGGTTATTTGTGAAGATGGCAGTGATTATAAGTTATCACTTATAGAAGCTCTCTAATAAGAGGCTAAGGGAGTTTCAAATTACAAGATGGTCCCTTAGTGAGAGTAGTAAATTAGTGAGAGATAGACCAAGGGTATGCAGATGTTACATACTGCTCCACCAATGAAAGTATGTTGTTCTTCTCATTCATGTCTGACTGTACTTACTGAACCCAGTGATCACTACAAGGTATCAGAAGTGGTGAATGAAAAAGAACGTAAAAGAATTTGAGTTCCCAACTGAAGAAGAAACTGGAAACTGAGAACAAGTGGGGCAACGGAGCCATGTGGAAGGACACAGGCCTCTTTAAGTGATCTTCCTACACAGTTAAAGTCTAAGGACTGTTAGTCATAGAAGGTTTGCAACTTCCACCTGCCTTTCTACTGTTTGGTAATGTAGGAGACAACTGGAAGGCATTCAGACAAAGGTTTGAGTGATACCTAGCAGCCACAGGGGCAGAAGAGAAAAATATCAAAGTTAAATCCCTCTGTCTTCTTGTAT